GATTTTTGCAGATCTGAAAGTTTCCAATTGTAAAATTGAAACTTGTAAAGGAATATAGGGATAATCTGTTATGATGCAAGCAGGGCGGAATTAATGTTTGCATATTGCTGCCTTATTATATATGCTGTCATATATGAAAGAAATCAGGTTTACTTGGCTTGTGTATATTCAAGCAGACATTCTACCTGCAATCTACCTGCTGTCCATACACCAGGAATCCAGAGCTAGGCAGCCAGCAAAGAGAGTATGCTTAGCTGGGGGCATGAAGCACATGTGTTCTAGCCAGGAAATTCAAACTGCTCTTTACACCCTGCTTTATGTCTGAAGCTAAAGTGCTCTTCAAAGTCCCTGGAGAAATAAACTGTCTCTACCCAGATGATAAGATGTCTGGCCCCTGATCTTAAAAGTAGTTCCCTTGGTAGTACTGGCAAGAGGAGTTTAACATGGATCAATACAGACAACATTGTGTCATGACAGCAGTCAAAACTGACTACAACACTGCAACTACAGCAAGAGAAAACATCTGAAGTAGGTGGTTGCTTTCTTACAGGGGATCACAAAATGTCTTTTCATATATGTATTCCTAGGGGTAATCAGAATATGAAGACACACAAAACCAGATGTGCAACCAACACCAGAAAAATAACTTGGTGCTATGTGGCTGCTACAGGACACAAAAAGAGATCTAAGAAGTACATGAGTGTTTTTTTCTAACAGGACCATTTTTCAGCTTTAGTAAACTCCAGACATCAATGTCATGCAAAGGAACAACATAATATTAAATAAGTGTCAATGTCAATACAAATTGTGAACATATTAAAAAATGTATAAAAGAGATGTATTTATGTCTCCTCCACCAAGAGCTGGACGTATGCTTCTATGCTGACTGCTCAATGTCATTTCACAATGTCACATCCCAGCACTAAGAGGAATGCTTTGAATTCCCTTTTTTAAAGCTAATTTGTAACACATGCAGAAAACTTTCAGTCATGTATCGCTACAGTGGTATTTGGTTAATAACAAAAATATTTAGTATATCTCTTTTTCAAAGTAATTAAACAGCTTGCCAATACACATTATTCATTAACACCTTGAAGAAGAATAAATTATATAAAATTGCAGTTCTTTTGAAGTTAAAATAAAGATGATACAAAAAAATTTTATTGGAGAAGAATTATTAGATTAATGATTAGATCTTTAAAAAAAATCAGCTAATCACTTATGCTGTGGTCTATGTAAATACAGAATGACAAGCAGGCAGAGTAAAAAAAAATAATTATTTCTTCACAAGCCTTTAAAATTCACATATATTATATATATGAAATAACTGAGATGTTCTAAATACAAAACCATTAATATTTTACCCCTTGGCTCTGGTACCAAGTCATGACTTGAGTGTCCATCCTTCTTGAAATCCCTAGTATAAAAACTGTACAAACTGATAAAGAGTAATTAATAGCTTTGAGCTTTGTTAAACTCGTACAACATAGACTAAGTGAGAGGTAATTACATCCTGATGGAAAGTGAAAGACAGATATCTCCATGGAGTAGCCTGTGAACCACACCAAGGTTAGTACAAGGAAAGGAAAATATAAATGTTCCATGGAACCCAAGTCCCCCAAGGCTATTATTTTATATACTGAAAAAAGTTACAGATTTTAGTCCTTGGCTTGATTTTTCCAAGATATTTTGCATGTGTCCTTTGAAAAATCAGACCTTCAAGATCATTCAGTCCAACCATGACCACCCCTAAACCATACAGATGCCCTTCGAACTCTTCCAGAGATGATGACTTCACACTTTGCCTGGGCAACTTATTTCCATGTCTAACTACTTTTTCAGTGAAAAAAAAAAAGAAAAAATAAAAGGAATATGTAATCTGAACCTCTCCTGGCACAGCTTAGGGCCTTTTTCTTCTCATCCTTTCATTTGAGACATGGAAGAAGAAAACAACCTTCATCTCACTACACCCTCCTTTTAGGCAGTTGTAGAGGGTGATGAGGTCTCCCCCTCAGCCTCTTCTCCATGCTAAACACCCCCTGCTCCCTCAGCCACTCCTCATAAGACATGTTTTCTAGACCACTTGCCAGTTCTGTTCCTGCCTCCAGACATGCACCTCAATGTCCTTTTACAAAAAAACCTGAACACGGTACTCGAGGTGTGACCTCACCAGTGCTAAGTACAGAGGGATAATCGTGTCCCAAGTCCTGCTGGCCACATTGTTCCTTATACAGTCCAAGATGCCATTGACCTCCTTGGTAATATTCCTGCTAGACAGATACTAATTATGTTTAGTTTTGCTGATCTGATACCTATTATATATCAGGGAAATTACTTTTAACTGGAATTTACCTTTCAAGTTTCTTACCTTGTACACTGGAAGAAAAGAGTGTATCCCTGAACATTTCTCTGCTTCCTAGTCATGTTACGTAATCTGACAAAAGGAGACTTGCACACGTTGCCTGTACTATGTTTTTACACAATTGCAAAGAAACAATTTTTTAAAATTATTTCTTTGATAAGCTATTCAACATTTGTCCTTAAGAAAAATTCTTATCAGTAGGCTATCTTAGTATGAGATGAATGCTTTACACAAGACCCTATTTTTACACTCTGAGTATAAAAAGAACATGGAATATCTACTCAGATTCGGAATGTGACTTTTATGTGCAAGGTCAGTATATTCACAGAACTTTTCCAACTAGAAACCTGATTGCAGAAAGGCTTTTATTATGCCAAATTGTCAGTGGCTGTAGCTTTATAGTTAAAAATAGAAAGGCAACAGCTAATACAAATCAATAGTGTTGCAATCATCAGATAGCAATGGCAAACCATGACCTGGCTCTTCATGACCCCTTGAAATGTCTTCATAGAAAGCTCAACACTAACTTATGCTAAAACAGGAAATATTTTTATATAATGTCAAAATGTCAAAGCAGTCCAATTTCAGCAATTACTTTTATCATTACTATATTCCTCTTTTGAGCTAACACTCTTGAGGTTTCTAGCTGCACTTGTGATTTCCTATCACTCTCCCGTTACACAAATAAATTCCTTTGTTTATATCTATCTGTATATATATATATGTATATATATGTGCATGTGGAAGAAATATAATTGTATTTCAAAGCCATTACCATTTTAAATACATGAACTTTATAAATTATTTTACTGTCTACCTGCCTCTAAGAGTATGACTCTTTCAGACTTAATACAAATTTCCCAATCTTGCTCAAATGTGTGTGAGAGGACATGAGCGTGATAATGCTACTCAACTTTTAACATGACAACCTTCTAGCATTCACATTGAATGCTAACTACTCAAACTAGAAGACTACCTACCATTCCATGAGTCTGCAGAAGTAAATTCATTCTTCAGCACAGAATTTAAAAACTATATTTGGATATGATCAAAGAGAAGGTGTTTTATTAAAAGTGCTGCAATGATCTGTTTGTTTTCTGCATTAAATTCCTGTACTGATTTAGAAATTCACCATAAACTTTTAACTTTCCAACAAACTTTGACATTCAGGAAAGAAAAATATTTCAAAATTGTTTTGTTTTAAAAACTGCATTATCAAATTCAAAAAGATTTAAACTGGATAGTGTTATAATAGCTTGAAGCATGGATGGTTAAACAATCTCTAGATATGGAAACAGTACTTTCAAACATTCTATTAGAATAAAATCTGCTGCACAGAGAAAAACTCTGTGTTTTTAAAAAGCTATATTTTAAAATTGTTTAGAGAGTTATGCCTAAATATGTTTCTGGTAAAAATGAATAAGTATTATAATAAGCAAAAACATACATGGGTGTCCTATTTCAAAAGCACATTGTGCTAAAAAAGAAAGAAAAAACAGAAAAAACAATAAAACCCCCTCTGAAAAAAGGCAACCTTCCAAAAGATTCTCGCAAACTTTTCTGTACATCAATATCAAAGTCATACAGTTGTCAAAATCTTAATTCAACATGTCCATCCACTAGTGGAAACTCAGAAGAATAAATATATTTGCACAATATGTCTGATCAGACAATAGTTTCAGATAATCCAATGCATAATAGATCATTAACAGATACAGAACAATTTTAGACAAAGGTTTTATGCTGGTTTTTCTGGCTATTCTATTATTCCCCATAAACTAATGGAGAAGAGAAATGTGCTGTGACATGGGAATTGGAATTTTATAACTAACTACATAAAAATATGGGTTATGAAGGTTAAAATCCAGGGAGGAAGACTGCACCGATCCTAGCAGAAACACTGCTATTTTAAACTGTGTAGAGTTCTGTATTTTGATATTCAAAAAGTCACCACTCTGCTGCCAGCTAGTACACACTCCTACCACAGTTTCCATTGAACACAGATGTCTTTCAAGTGTACATCTGACATACTTTGCTGATATTGAAGATTCCAGCCAGAGACTGACTCATTAAAGCATGTGTCTTTTAGACTCACCTACCCCACCCCTCCCCACCATCAACGCCAAAACAGCTACTCTAAGTTCTAGGTGGAACACAGTCTAAATTGCCAGTAAGCTTTAAAATAATACAAAGAAAAAAAAAAAAAAAAAAAAGAAAACAAAACCAAACAAAAACCACCAAACCTATACATTGGGATGACCAACCCAGTTCCCTCATAAGAGAATACTATATGGAACATATATAGTAAACTGATCTTGCTTGTTATTTAGTGATGACAAGAAACCAAAAGATTCTTGGGGCATTCACCACTTTTGATTTGGGCAAATAAAAAATCTATGATCCAGATATTATTTCAGAAGATATGTTTTTTAATCAAAAACACCAGAATACATCGAGCACCAGCCCACTCACTGCAGAATATATATAAAAATTATATCTGAACCAATGTTCAAATCAGTACATACATTTTTTCCTTCAAAATTATAAGATTTCTATATATCATGGTAATGGAAAAAGAAAAAAACCTAGAACTTAGTACTTGAAGAAATGAGGTACATAAAGTTACTGTAATACTTACCACTGTGAAATTCATAACCTTCAAAATCCATATTGTCATTGCTAAATTAACAATCATGGTAACCAACAGCAGAAGGACAAAGAAGTATAAGCACCTCTTTCGCCATCCATAAATCCCTACTGGGTAAAACTGAGGATGTTCAGTCCTTGGAAGGTTGTTCTGTTGTGTTGCTAATATATACTGCTCTCGTGTCATCTGTAAAAGAAAGATGTAAGTATAAGTAAGTAAATGAGAGGCCTGTTTTTCACATGTAATATAACATAAAAATTATCTCAGAATGTATAGAAAATCAGTTTCTATAGGCACAGAAGAGACACATTCATCTAGCATTAATCACATAAATGTTATTTGTACTAGGCATCTAGCATGAATTTGATGGATTTTATGAATTTAAAATAAATTTTTGGTTTCTATTTCAAATTGGATTTGCATTTCAAATTTATCAGCAATAAACTATTAAAAATATAAAAGAAATCCATGCATGCATTTGACATTGTAATTCTGAATATTGTTTTGTTGTCCTTTATGAGATCATTAAGTAAAATTTGGTTCTGGAGAAAGAGAGTCATGTACCTTTTTCTTTTATACTGGTTTTGGCTGACATAAAGGCAATTTTCTTCGTATAGCTTGTACACTCACTTTTACAAATAGAAGAAAATTTTCACCTTTCTAAAATATATCCTTCATAAATGAAGTTTTCAGTCTTATATTATACTTAGCAAATTAAATTAATAATTGATGCTATTATACATGCATCCTTTACCAAAAAAACCCAATCATTTTGGCCTTTAAGAGATGGATACAATTATAATCTGTTAAATTCCTGAACTAGTTGAAATTCTTCTCACACACAAGTAAGCAGTAACCATTGCAAACTGCTTAAAGAACTTTCTATCAATATTTCCTTAAAACAAAATTATTTATGCTATTTAATAAGAAACTGTTTAAGTTTTTTTTCCTCCACAAATGTCTTTTACAGATATTTATATTCATATTCAGCTGTCAAATTGCCTTTAGACTGGTAGGTACTAAATTTTCTCTGTGACTTAAAAATTAAATTAAAGCAGTCTCATTCTGTTTCTGTAAGAGTTCTTTCTGTAATATGCCCATTAGAAATGTTGTTTTAATAGGTTTTGTGCTCAGGAAGAAGACAAAACAAAACAAAATGAAAAAATTCAAAAAAACCAAACACAAACTCAACAAACTTATAAACCAGATAAAACAATCACTTTTAGACACAGGTTAAACGCTACCATTCTTTTGACTTAAAAAAGGTAAAAATGCACAAAAATGAGTCAGTTGGTCCAATGAGAAATAAAAACCAGATTACATTCATTTGAAGGATCAAAGAAATGTTATGTTCATAAGATTTTTAAAATGTGAAGCTCAAAAATGTTCATGTAATTATCTGTGTTGCTAGATATTTATCCAAATCAACACTCTTTAGGCTTTACCATTCTTCTAGTGAATGAGATATTAATGTAATAAATTAACTCACAGTGAATAATTAGAGTCATAAGTCATAGAGCACACATCCATATTGTGACAATATATATATCACTGAAATAAGTCAAGACATAAATAAAGGATTTAAAAAGTAGATTTTAAGTAGGTTAGCAAACAGGCATTTTGTAATTTTTATTTTTTTTCAGGCATGATTTCTTCTCTTTACCCTCAGTTTCAATTAAATGTAATGTTTAGTGGTTTATTTGTGTAGTGAATTTTATAAACAAAATTTCCCTCAATGACATTTCTCAATTCTCCCAAAGCAAAATATGGCTAGGATTGAAGACCTTGCATCATCTTATCATATGCTGGCAGTTTTCATCCTATTTGTGTGAAAACACCTAAGCACACAAATAGTTTAATCAACTTTCTCCTTATAATTAGTTTTTACACATTTATTTCGCCAGTCATTGTAAGAAAAATGCAATGTATGATTAAATTTTGAGATTTTAAGTAACTGGTTAATTTTACACAAATTCCATTTTCTTGTGATTTAACTTTATATATTACCTACAAAAAATTACTTTCATTAAAAATATTTGAAAAGCCGACTTTCAGATCATGACAATGTCAGAAATAGTACTGGTCCTAAAACTGTGAATATTGTCCGATGGAACAGACCCTTTGCAACACAATCATTAAATACAATGGTATTTTATTCCATCACCACAGCCAGGCATCACTCAGTTTCCTCTGTATACTGTTCTACTCCGTGAGGCTTGGTGAAGCAAACTCTGCCCCTGCAGCTCATGGAGGGCCATAGGCGAGGAGAAATCCACACCACAGCCCATGGGGGATCCCATGCTGGAATAGCCTAAGGGGCCATAATTTGTGACCCCATGGAGAGCCCATGCTGAAGCAGGAGCCTGTCTGGACCTGTGAACCCATGGAAGGGGCCCATACTTCCTGCTGAAACTGTCACCTGGAACATAACACTACTCCTAGACATTTTCATTACTGATTGATTCTGTCTGCGTTACTTCCTTAATTCACAGAAATAATGAAAACATAAAAGCACTTTAAAATATAAATTCACAGTATGACAGCATCTGGAGCCAATATTCATTTGGGTTGATAAGGAATTGGATGAGCTGTAGAGCTGCAGATACAGAAGAGCAATAGCTAGCAAGGAAAATCATACCATCATTTAGAGGAAAAAAAAAATCAAAAAAGCAATCTGGTCATGGCTAGCCATAGCTCAAAACATTATATAGATGATTGACCTGAACCAGCTAGCCGTCCCTACTCATCTACTCACCCTGAAAGTAACACAGCCTCTTGGCCAGCAGTTAATCCTGTGGAGAAGTCTTTTTTTTTATGACACTACAGTAGCCATTCATTTTGCTTCCCCTCACACAGTATGTGGCATTAAACTTACAGCAGAAAATAATGCAAATATTTTCTTTATAAGAAAGTTTACCCTTCATGGTGAAAAATTCATCATACAGAGCAGGAAGTGCTATAAGAACCATAGCACTTCTTCTGTAATAAATGCACAAACGTTCTATCTCAACCTTGGCTTTAAAATCAAGACTTGGGATGAAATCAAGAAGCTCATTATATAAACAAATAAGATGGCAAGAAAATGGTTTGTATCTTTTGAAAAAGTCTGATACATAAATGGATGAATTTTTCTAGAAAGCATTTAAAATGCCAAGCACCTATACATGAAGATCTTCCTGTCACTTCCAGTATGGGTTGAAGGAAATTAATTGTTCCTTCTCTTTTGCAAGTGTTTGCTAATCTAGAATACCTCCAAAATAAACAGAAAAATATTTCATTATCTTGATTTGGTTGAGATCATATCAAGATTGGGATTGACAAGGTAGTAGAGCTGCACTCTTAGATAATTAAATATTGGAGGGAGATAGTAACTTCCTCTGAAATTTTTATATGGGCTACACACATGACACCTGCTAAGTCTTCTTTTGGCATTAGCCATTCAAGCCTTCCAAAGGCAGCCAAAACTGTGTCAGCAACTGACCCTACGACAAACAGTCATTGGGTCACAAATCATTTGCCAGATAAGATAAAAGCCTCATCAATCTATTGTACATTTCAGGCAAAACAGCATAAATCTTTATTGCCCTGATGGGCAATTTTGTATTTGTTGGATTTTGCTTATTTTTCTCTTTAGTATAATTGGTATCATTACTAAAACTGCCTTGGCAGCTCAAAAGGATTTGGAGAGTGTGGCTCTTCTGAGACCTGTACTAGGATGTGTCATGGAATCACAGAATGAGTTCAAAGAGGTGATCTGGAGGATGGAGACTAAACAAACTGTGCCTCACAATAAAATAAAAAACTTATTTATCATAGACTACTTTTGTCATGTAGGTGTCAAATCAGAGGTATTTCAAGATTCTGATCTGAGTGTTGGATGCTTTTTTGTTCTGCTGTGGATTTTTCTTCTTGCAACTTTTAGAAATGAAGGTAGAATTGTACACAACACTCCAAGACTGTGTTTTCTAATTAAGACATCTGGAAATCCCTTTGCACCCTTGAAAACCTAAAGGAAAAAAGATATGCAAATAACTTCACTGTTAGGCTGTACATAAAGTCCATTGATTACATAATTTATGTGATTTGAAGTTTAATAATTCAGAAGAATCTGCTTTTTTTCTTGGCCACGAAGTACAGTTTTGTCATCAATGTCAATGAGGCTTAAATCAATATGTTTTTACTGACAATTTGCTGGGCTTTATGTTGACAATTAGAGTTTAATTTTTTTCCTAACTCAATACAGTTAGATTACTACAGAGACTTCATTTTAGCCACAGGCAGGACAACAGCTGAGGCACACAGTTTTCTCCCTGTGATGCCAATGCTTACTAAACACTCACTGAAACAATTTTCTATAAAAGGACAATAAATGCTTGCATCTTGGATATTGCTCTCCAATAAAATTATCACATGACAAAAATGAATATCAGTCACCTGATACTATTACCATTATTACTTAGTGTGAGCATTTATGGCTGTTCTGTTCAACATATTTAATTGTAATGTTCTCTGCACAATGAAGTTCACAGCATGTTAAAAGAATAAATAATCATGTACTGAATAGAATCATACTTTTTACCACTGTTCTGTGACTTGAAATATTTCTAAATAATAATAATGTGCTATACTGGATTTTCAAGGAAGCCGGATTCAAATCCAGCTCAGGCTTGAGGTTTTTCAAAAAAATATTACTTTCTAAGCTACATTTTCAAAACTGAACCACATTTCAGTACATTTTTAGTGTATTTTTAAAAGAAGCTTTGGTTTCAAAAACTTGCTCATTATTTCACTTTATCTTGCTTTATAATCATCTAGCTGCTTGTGGTCTTTGAGAATAACTTTTTGAGGTGTTCTATACCAGGTGGGATCACAGAAGTCTAGTAACAGCAACACAAGATTCCATATAGCTGAGTTGTCTTAGAGAAAAACAGATGCCTAAGGAGACAGACTGCTGAAAGACACAGCAGCATACTGCCCTAACACCTGTGATAGGTCTCTGGACTTTATCTAAAATATTCCTTTTGCTAGACAAAGAGATACATTTTGTCTTATTGGATAAATTATAAAAGACTAATAAAATAGCAACAAAGTCAGGAAAGCTACAGCAAACCATTGGATTTCAATTTAAAAAACCCACAACTTTTCTCTTAAACCTGGTGGGCCTTCATCACTGTTGCTCTACATAT